TCAAACAATAGAATCAACCGTAAGTCAGCGAGTAGGCTGTGTGTTGAGCTATAAATAACCTATTAAATAGGAAACTCAGATTGCACGCTCGCAATAACATATTAGTATTAGCATCTAATACATGTATTTTTATTTTTCCAATGCGTACACAAGTTAACAAAATGTGGGTAAACTAAAAGTACTTTATTATTATATAAATACTAGATGACAGAAAATTAAAAATAAATCAGTTAATCAATACGGTCCCAAGTTAATTTTGAAATTGTCAATGCACTAAAAGATTTAAATCATCTGGTACTTTTTTCTATAGAAAATATAATCAAATTTAATATAAATAATTACAGAAACAAATATAACTAATCCTTAGTTTGACTTATTAACTTCATTCTCAGGTTTTTTCTAGGGGTTTTAGCTTGGGTTGTTGTTCAGATGATGGCTTGGGTTGTTGTTCAGGTGATGGCTTGCATTTTAGTTCAGGTGATGGCGTGTATTTTAGTTCAGGTGATGGCGTGCATTCTCCAATGGAAGAGTCTCCATTGCACATTGGACAAACACTATAAGATGTTACATATTCAATCATAGCTGTACCACTAAAGAGCATTCATACATTCATTATAATAACTTGAGATAATGGAAGCGGTAAAGAAGAAGAGAAGATAACAAAGATAACTTACCTTTCTCATTTTTGTTATATCGCAGAAGAGTACTGAATGTAAAAACAGTGAGCTTTTATTAGTTTGCCTTGATGCAGTTTGAATGTGAAACACAAGCATTTTATTTTTGAGATGTAGCAGGGAAATAACGTAAATGAAAAAAATGTATATAACAATTCGAGAGGTCAGAGAACAATGGTGTAATTTTATACCATACAAAAAACTGCACAAAAATGAAAATATTAATACTGCCTTTTTTGGATTTTCTTTTCTCTTATTCTGGCATCTCAAAGAAAGAATGTGGTTTCATTTAGCTAACTGTCATACAGATGGAAGTAGTAATAGTAGGAACATTTTCATTGCACAGCCCCATTGATGTCACACAACATATTAATTATGTGGATAGATTATTATATTTTTTATCATGTATTAATTTTATTTTATTTATATTGTATCTTTATCACATAAATAAATCTGACCCTGGTGGTGTTGCGTTATATCATATAAAATTGTGCATATGTTTTGTGAAATACTTTTTCTTATGTATTGATATTGATGAGGTGCATATATGATTGAGAATTATTCTTGGCATTTTTCAGCGAAAATTGTTCTGTGAAATCACATAAGCGTTCTGACTCACAATGCTGATCACACTTGGCATTTTTTTGGCGAACATTGTTCTGTGAAATCACATGCACATTTTTTTCTAAATGCTGATCATCAAAATAATATTTTTGTCATCTCTTATATTAATATTAAGTGAACATAGCGGGCTTTCCCTGTGATTGGCTTATTTTATTTTGTGTAAAATGATGATCATTACTAAAATAAAATTTTTG